GGGGGGGGGGTAATAACATCGCACATCAGGTATATAGAGCAGGCCAGGTGGGTTATTGAGATGCAGCTGCAGAGGATCATGACGGGGTGAATGGGCTCTATGAGAGTGCCCGCGTGTAAGCGTTGTGCGTGCGAGCGCCGTAAAGTGGCACGCATGTGTGAGTGTGCGCTTGTGTGTGTGAGAGTGTATTAGTGATTTTGTGTGTGTGTGTGTGTGTGTGTGTGTGCGTGTGTGTGTGTGTGCGTGTGTGTGTGTTTGTGCAGGGTGGTCAGGATGAGAAACTGCGACAAAAGCGAAGCGTGCTCTCGCTACCATTGTCCAAAGGGGGGGGGGGGAGAACTATGGAGGAACCCAACCCACCGGGCAAAAACGAACGTACGTGGCTTATCATACGGACTGACCCAGAGGGAGAGGAAGGGGAGGGGGTGTCAAGGACAGCTAGCACCTTGTTATCGAGCTGACTGCGCTGACGGGTCTGACCGTGACCGGACACTGCGGGCGGGCCAGCGCTGAGTTACGCTCTGGACACGACAGACACTCTTCGAACACTATACCCTACTAAAAAAGAAAAAAAATGCTAGAAAGTTTAAGACCGATTTGTCTGTTTTTCAAATGTGTAAACTTGGCACACTTCCTGATGTCGAGCTTCAACTTAACACCACGAAGCGTGCAAACTTTGCACACTTCGCAAACGTCTAGGCAACTTTTGACACTTGGTATGTATTTCCAAGTGTGAAAAGTGTGTGCGAAGCACACTTACAGTGTTCAAAATTGCACACTTGTTTTACCAGCAGTGTACTGTGAGCGTGACAATCCTAACACACGCTGGGTATAAAAAAGGGGAAAATTATAACAATCCTTTGGTTGTTAATACACACATAAATTGTTGATGTGTGACCCTCGGTGTGACCACTTAGTACAAAACATCGTGTTTTCTTTTCTAAAACAGTGAGAGAGCAAGCATTTTAAAGTGAAGTTTACTGACAAAATTCATTTTTGGAGTAATTGTGCGAAGAGAAAAACTGTGCCTAGTTGAACCAACAATTGGTTACGACGATACGGGCGACATCGAAGGACAGGGGAGGAGGGGGGTGTCTGTCGGTCCGGTCGGTCCACCATGTCCAAAAAGCAGCGTCAGAGAGAGGATAGAATTGACATCGGACAAGATGATTAGGGCCTAGGCATGCTTGAGTCAGATGGCAGCCCGTGAGTGGACGACCACCATGCTGGCCGCCGGCGTAAGAAAAGTACACATAATAACAACACCCTCCCCCTCCCTTTCCCCCAATCCAAAAAGAAAAATCGAAAACGATTATTACTGCTTTAAATACTCTTACTGCCACCGCGTAACGGCATTTGTCTGAAACGTGGCCAAAAGAAACATCATTTTATGGTGACCTACTCTCACGTGACGACACCAACGACACGTCCGCGTCCTCTCCGCCAGCAGCGGGAGAGCATTCCTGCTCGGCTAATTAGGCCTCTTTGAGTCGGCTGACTGACAGTGTTCGCCTGACATTTGCACGCGCGGAGGTGGCCGATGACCCCCCCGTGCGAGTTGAGCTGCCAACACACGTAGTCACGCCCCCACCCCCTCCCACCGTCACGCCGCCAGGGGCGAGTCCAGAGGGCTAGAACGCTGCGTTCGACCCATTTATTATCCTAGGATGAGGCGAAGATAAAGCAAAACGATACACACAACAACAACAACATCAACAGCGAGGCAAAAACTGAAGACGCGTAAAACGGCCCCGAGTAATAAATAAACCTAAAGACGGGCGGAGGAGATAAAATGCTGCATTCAGGAGCCGCTTTTTGTAGGGCGTTCAGTTAATCGTCGGGCTATACGCTCGGCTCGGCTGATTGGTGGGATGAGAGCCTTTCGGCGCTCGTCGATCGATTACATCATCGAGATGTGAGATTCGATTCCGCTGCATTCGGGCCCAATCTGTAACCATTCTTCGTGACGGGTGGCCGCGTAGGACTTCCCCCTCGGGCCAGAGCCGCGACCACAGCGCTACCCGGTGCGGCGGCGGTGGCGCCAAGGAGCAGGCGGGGGTTCAAGGTCCTCTCGACGGAGGGCGCCACCACCCGACCGGAAGGGCAGCGGCGGCCGCGGGAAAGGCGGCACGGTTTGAAGTGCGCTCTCTGGGACTCACCTAGGCTGCCGAGTTCCTGGGGCGCGAGCGGGGCACGCGCGTCGCCCGGGGCGCCGCCGACGACCGAGCTGGAGGGCAGCGACAGCCTGTCCGTGCTCATGGACAGCACGGAGCCGCGGCGGGACAGGCGCGTCCCCTGGCCGCCCGCCGCCGTGCTGCCGCTGGCCTGGCTCAGCACGTCTGAAAACACGGGAGGAAAATAATGGCAGCGTGAGCAAGTGTACGGGAGGTGAGAAAAAAAGCGACTGGGGGAGGGAAATGAAAACTGATCAGAGGATATGACAATCTCATGGGAACGATTCAGAGGCCCATGTCTTGATGATCAAATTGGAAGCTTTTTAACATTTAACAACCCAACCAGTAAATTGAAGAGAAACTAGTGTTTGTTGAACATGGCAGGTATCACCTTCTAAAGGTAATTAACTTAGAGGGATTTCTAACACATTGGCAACTGTCCGCACAAGGCATCGCAAAGCACGTTTAGTTTCCAATTATTTAGTCAAAAAGTCTCTGCAGTCTCTGCAGCAGGGTTTCAGGGAGCAGAGACTCCACTACCTTAATTACCTCCATTGGGACTTTTGATGCTGTATGCTGTGCTTTTGGTAAACCTTCTCGGATACTTTCGGAAGTAATCTGGCTTGACAGTCCTGCGACGCCTCCTGAGGTAACGAGCCAGAATGCCAAGCACAGCTACACCTGCTGTCACTGACATGATAACAATCTGAAACATAAATTTACAAGAGATGAAATCTAACAGCTTAACTCTGAAAAAACTGACAAAATACAACTAATGGAGATTTATACATGGCAAACAATGGCAAATATTTCATTCCCAATAAAGATCAGTAATACAATAAAAATCCTTTCACACAAAGAAACAATTGCATATTTCAAAACGTATGTATAATTCGGATACGGGCATCAAAAGACGAGGGGAATCGAAATAAAGGTGCTAACGAAGTGCTAAACTTACCCTCTGAGTTGACATTCGCCCGAGCAGAGCAGTTGACGGCAGTAGTGTCTTCATACCAGTCACCACAGGACTAATCTGGTCTGCTCCTGCCATTTTGCTTGTTTTTTCAAACAACTCTTGCTACTTTATTTCAGTTTTCAGTGTTGGGATGCATTACATTTAACCGAGATCATAACCTCAACTCTACGACACCGGAACACCGAGCATGGTGGCTACGATCAGCTGATCCACAGACCTCCGTTTGATAAGAGCAAAAAGTGCCTCACACGCAGTTTTAAAGGTTTGTCGAGTGCTGAACGACCCTAGATTAAAGCTAAAAGTTATGGTGCTAATAAATTTGGAGATGTAATTGAAAAATTAAAACAAATTTCGATTTTAGCAGCCGACGCGGTAGCGGACGATTTTTGAAAGACGCTTACTGCCTTCCTGTAAACCAAGAACGACCCGAACGATGGGGTGAGAGGAGGAGAGGTGGGAAGGGAAGGAGAGGGCAGGGGCAAGGGTTGGGTGTTGGGTTAGGGGAAGGGGTGTGTTGTGTTCAAGCAATTTTGTTATTGAAAAGTTCCAACAATCTACTTCAAATTTTTTATAGAGCTCGTGATTTTTGTGGAACTTATGCTGAATGACTAAGTGACCAATATTTATTTGAAGCACAGGGTTAACAAACCAAATATCTGTCACTATGGAGGTTGAATTTGAAGATATTATAGAGGATGATTCAAGGAAAAGCATCAATGAGTTACCTGATGAAGTTCTAGAATACATTTTCAGCTTAGTGTCTCCCTACAAAGATTTAAAGGAGTGTATGCTTGTCAGCAAAAGATGGAATGAAATAGTTAAAAGTAAGTTGCTTAAAGTCTGTTTTACCTAACCCTCATATTTCTTCTGTGTAATTTTGTTTTGTTTATTACTTTTGCCTATCCTTTTAAAATAGCACTTAAGTTTAAATTCTAACTCCGATGCCCAACTTGAACATTGTACCATTGTTGATATTCACTTTATGTGGACTGTAATTGTTGTTAATTGATATTCTGTTTCATCTCATCTGCAATTTTTTTCTAGATGTTGTGAGACTTCTCACCCTTAAGCTTACCAATGCTATCAGCAATATGGATGTTGCTTGGCAAACTATTACTCCAGCTGAAATGGCTCCGAGCATCACCAAGAGATATTCCCATTCAGCTTGCTATCACGGTATGGTATCTCAATCATTTGCCCTCCTCCATACATTAAATTTTGCTTCATTAATCATTTATTATTTGTGTTGCCATCAGAAAATTCCATGTATGTCTTTGGAGGTTGTACATCAACCAGTACAACTTTCAATGATTTATGGCGATTGGATCTAAATAAAAGACAGTGGGTCCGGCCTTTAACCATGGGCACATATCCATCTCCTAAATCTTGTGCAACTATGGTTGAATACAAAGATGCTCTTATTGTATTTGGTGGCTGGACCCTTCCATCACCCTTTCCTCTTCATCAGGTATTGAAATTAAAGAAAATAAAACAATCAGCGTGACAGTTATGGTATTTTGAGCTTTCTGTTGATCTATGGACAATTAATTTTGCTTTCTCCAATTTTCTCTTAGGCTTGGAGGCTGTTTAATGAACTACACATTTATAGTATTGTAAAAAATCGCTGGATGTGTATAAACACAGCATTTTCACCACCTGGAATGGCTGGTCATTCTGCATCAGTCCATGGAGACACAATGGTGGTATTTGGCGGACTGAAGGCTGAGCCCCATGGACAATACTCTTGGTATTTCATTAGACACTTTACCTCTTAATTTCATTAGCTTACCTACCATCAATTTTTGTTCATTATTGTTTGTTATTATTAATTTAAGTTCGAATGATGTCTGGTGTTTTGACCTGGAAACTCAAGAGTGGCATAAACAAGCCACATCTGATGTCAAACCTCATGCTCGTTATGGTCAGTCGCAAATCTGGTTGGGGAAAGACCACCTCCTTATAATTGGTAAGTTACTTTTAGCAGGGCAGTCTCATGGCGATGCTGAATGTTTTGAGTTATTCATTCTTTTAAAATAATACTCTTGTCTTTTCTCTTAGGTGGATGTGGTGGTCCAAATATGGTATTCAATGATGTTTGGTTACTGTCCTTAGCTGGCAAAGTGTGGGTTTGGAGGGAAGTTGAGGTACAAAACCGTGAATGGTCAGCTACTTATATGTGGTGCCATCGTGCTTGTAGGGTAAGACATGCCTTAAATATTTTTTATTGCTATTATGTGTGTGTTATGATTAGAGCTAGCTAGGTTTAGCTGGCTTAACCTAGGGCCGACTATCCCAGTTTGGTAATTGTAGGTGAAGCTTCTTTTACTACGGGCTCTACATACACATTATTTTTTGTTTAGGTTGGAAATCAAGTTGTTATGATGAGCAGGGACCCTAGACCTCTCAAAAGAAAGCCTCAGAATGGAGTTAAAACTAAACCCAGATCTCGAATATCATCTGTCTGGGTTCCTCCACGATATGAAGAAGCAGCCCCCAACATGCCACAACGTATTACTCCAGCCTTTCGTGTCGATAAGGACTTTAATGTTAATGGTCAACGAGGAACATTTTTACGGGGCAGTGTAACACACAGAATGTCCAATGGAGCTCCCAGCAATGAACATGCTTCTGGTTCAGATTCTGACTCAAGACCTGGGACTAGTGGTGTGAATGGTATTAAAAGATCAAAGAATGCAGAAACACAAGAGAGTGTTCATATGGAATGTGAGCCAGGTCCAAGTGGTGTGAATAATCAACCACCAATCAACATGCATCCAGATTGTCAACCTGGTCCAAGTGGAATAAGCAAACCTGCTAATACGAGCAGAAATTCTATTTCCCCTGGCAAGAGTGATAATAGTCCTGATAACTTGGCTGCTTCAAGCCCTAGTACCCTAAACTGGGATCGGCTAAGGCCAACCAATCGCTCTCCTAATGGGGAAAGTCCTAACCGTGCAGGTGCAATTGTGATGGCAGCTTTCCAGGATGGGGAACAACCAGTTCGACCGGCCCCGTCAAGGGCTCGTGAGAGACAACTTCAAGCTCTTCAGAGGTTTGAGGAACGAATGCGATTTAATAATCAGCCTCGAGTTCAGGAGCCATCCAATAGTGAAGATGCTCCTGTTAAACTTCAGAGGACCATGGTGGTATGTGTCATGGATATCACAAAAATTTTAGAAGAAGAGTGTTCAGCTAGGTGGTTAGCATTGAATACAGAAGCTCTCAGCACTGGTCCGGAAGAAACCCTTTTGTATACACTTGTTGCTGGGCGAGGAGAACTTATCATGTTTGGTGGGATTCATAGGGAAGCTATGACACTAATGACTAACTCGCAAATCAATTCTGCAAGCAATCTATCAAATTCATTGCACTTTATTTCTGCACCACATGGTGTAATTTGAAGACTGAAAATATCTCTGAACAAAATGACTGGAAGTTTACTTCACCATTTTTCCCCCTGTAAGATGTGTTGAGTCATAGTAATGTTAAAGCACTGTTCCTTTAAAAAATGCTACTTAATAGTGCATTGTTTAACTAATTTTAAGTTTTGCCACTCAGCTATTTGTTGATATCAATTAGAACTTGAAAAGTAATTTTATTTTGTCTGGTTTTGTTTCATGTTACAATTTAGGTGAAGTTATTAATAATTTCTATCAATTGAATCTTGCTTTGGACCTTTACTTGTTAATTAACCTCAACACTGCTGAAACCTTTGATAAGACTTTGTTATATTACTTTTATGCAATAAACAATATGCTGCAAAGTTCCCTACTTTGATTTCAAAAATTATACGTTTAAAAAAACCTCTGTAAGACTTGTCTGATACCATTCATGTCTCACCCCTGAAAAATATTGGTACCATTGGATTGGAACATTGGACCAATGGAACTGATTTGTGCCCCTGTTGGCTCTCAGCTCTCATGATAAGATGGCAATTCATCACACAACTTTCTGTTGCTCACATACTAAAGTAACAGCTATGTCATGTCCAACTAATGGTAGCAGTGTAGTTGTCTAATGAACAGTCTGAAACCTCATTTTAGTGTAACCATATTCGCCACAATGAGGGTCTACCAAATTTTGGACAGCTCAATGCAGAAGGTACAGGATGATTTTGATACTTGGATTTTGCAATCAGCAACCTCTTCCATTCACATGGTCTGAAACTCTTTGCTACATATTTGCGGTATCATTTAAAGCAATTGACAACACCAAAGAACAGCCCCTTCTCCTGAACCATCACTATAATAGGTAAATCAAAGCTGTGTCCAGACAAGAGCAACCCAGGCGACTCCTTGTTTGGACGCAGCTCAAATGGGTGAGACTCACTACATATGCATGACGGCATGACAGAGATTGGATGGAGGTAAAGTAGGTATCCAATAATAACTAAACGGGTCAAAGATAGTTAAAATTTCATTTCTTACATTTAGTACTTGACTTGATACCTAGTACCACATGTCATGTCAAATAAGTATTCTTCACTATTACTTCCCAATGTAGTCTAAACTTCTTCATCTTCATCTTCGTTCTGTTTTAAACTCCCAAAGACCTCAGAAGGCACAATTTGTTTTTGAATAGGAAGATCAGCTGGAAATATTTTCAAAAAATATGATTAATTATTGCAATTTTCAAGTTTTTATCTATGAACTTCATTTTCAAATCATTCCATACCTTCCTCCTCCTTCTCACTCCCATCTGAACCTTCTTCTTCATCATCATCAATCTCAATCTCATCGGGATTTGCAACACGGGCTCCTTCTCTGTCTCCACCTTGAGTTTCTCCGCGCACAAAAAGAATGTTTCCACCTTTTGGCATAACTGTGGACAGAATAGTTACGGTGTGTGTGTGTGTGCGTGTGTTCTCCGCGCACAAAAAGAATGTTTCCACCTTTTGGCATAACTGTGGACAGAATAGTTACGTTAAGTAAGCACAATAAATGAGAGGGAATATCACAGAAAAAGAAAGGTTAGCTACTGACCTAGACGTGATTCCATTTGGGCAACTTCTGCAGCTTGGGCTTCCAGCATTCGCATACCATCCTTTACGCCTGGAGCCAAGTCAGCAACTGTTCCCGCAGATCCAGACACATTAACCATTTGCGCTGACATCATATTCACCTGAAAGTGCAAGAAAGAAAATTATTATCAACAAGCCTTCATTAATACATAATACAATTTGTTCTGCAGCTCCGAAACATACCTGAGTGTTATATGTTGCTTGCACACTACGTTTGATACGTAGCATTTCTCGCATGGTATCCTCATTGCCATGGCGCACTTCAAAGTCCTTCCAAGCTTGCCAGAAATCTGCAGTTACCTGAAAAAATGGCCATGGTTAATGGTGTTTTAAACACAGAATAAAATACAGTTCTAACTTGACAAATGCTTTTTAATTAATAAACTTACTCTTGGGTCACAAATTTGACTGCAATGAGCATAAATAGCTCGAGCTCTATCAACTTCACCAAGTTTGGTTTCCATTTCAGCAAATCGTACACACATTTCTCTAGAGTTGTTATCTCCAAGCATTTCAATGGCTTTTTCATAAATTTGACGTGTTTTAGGTACTCCATATATCTCTGCAGCTTTTTTAATATAGATGTTAAACATCTGGAAAAAAATTGCAGTAAAAATTAAATTTTATAAAAGTTTTTCATAAGGATGTAAGCACTAAACAAGAATCTCAAATGGATATTACCTCAAACATCTCTTCTGGTAGAACCGCACTTGTAGCACGTTCATAAACAGCCATGGCATGTCTGGCTAAGCCATGTTCTTCCTCCAGTTTCGCGTACAAAAGGTACAAAGCTATAAAAAAAATCAACAAAAATTCATACGTCAACAACTAAATTTCTGGTTTGGGACGGTAAAAATTGTACGAGAGAAAATTTAATAATTATTCTGACTTTACCTTTTGCAAACTTTGGAGGACACTTCTCTAAACATTGCTCAAACAGGTCTCTAGCTCTTTCCAATTTGGTTCCACCATAGCGGTTTAAGAATTTTGTTAAATAGGTATTCCAAATATCATAAACATTTGGCCATCTGAACAAAGCAACGCCCTTCTCATATGCCTGAACAGTGCAAGATAAAAAATTAAAATAAGTACTGCAAGTTGGTAATTTCCTTCTATTGTAAAATCAACCAAATGGAAAGGGAATGAAAGTAACCATACCTTGAATGCTTCCTCAAAGTAGTTTTGTTCTTCCAAAAATAGACCATAGTTGATGATTATCTGAGGTGTTGCGATCTTAAGATCTATTATTCTGTCATAAACAGCTTTGCAAGACTAAAAGATATTGGAGGGAGGGATAAACTAGTATTAGAAAAAACAGTACCAGTACATAATGTTGAAAATTAGAAATATACAACTTTTCTCCAACTTACCTTAAATGAACCAAAGCTCTCTTCTAAATCGGCGTATAATGACCATAACTTAAGTGATTTGTAAAGTCTATTTTGTACTGTTTCTGTCTCATCATGATAAGCTGCTTTGTGGTTTGGCATAACTGTTGCTTTATGCATGAGTTTCAATGCAGCTTCTGGTCTCCTAGAGAGAGAAAATAATTTATTAACATTTGATTTGAAACTATATTGGCACATTAATAAAAACAATGACATATATAGAGAAATGAACAAACTCACTCATGTCTGATTTCCATCTCAGCCCATTCACACCAAACTGCTGCTAAATCTTCAACTTTCACATAGGGTACTTGAGTGGCTTTTTCAAACACAACTCTAGCATCATCAAGCTGACCATTTTCTTCATAAAATTTGGCAAAAGCCACCCACAAACTGTTCAGTTTCCCGACAGCCAGTTTCGGATCCACGGTCTGAACTGCTTCTGTGTAAGTAGAAATAATCTGCAAAAGAAATAACATGGTAGTGCAAAGGATATGAAGATTGATATGTGCACATAGTTTGTAATATAATTATATACCTGGTGAGGCTGCCCTTCATATAATTGAACTCTCTTGTGCCACTCATGAACATTATGTGGATTTTGACGAAGAAGTACAGAGTTGAGTAGAAGAGGTCGTCGTTCCATCAAATGCTCAAATCGAGCAAGGCGGAGATCCAGTTCAACATCATCTAAGTATTTCAAAAAACAAAACAATAGGTATGAGATTGCTACAGAAACATTTTGGGAAAGCAAACAATTTTTAATAGCTTTATTGTACCTTCTTCAGAAGGATTTGAAACATTTTGAGCTTGATCAAACCGTTTACTTAAGCTAAGTTCCTCAAATTGTGCATATGCATCAAAAACCTGAGTGAAATCTCTCACTGTTTTTACTGTTTGAATAGCTTCTTCATATATATCCCTCGCCTGGAACAAAACAAAATTACTACATTGTTCATACAAAGTCACATGAGAACCATGCAACTTAGAGAATGCAAGAGTGTCATTCATTATTTATTATTTTTAACTCACCCTTTCAAACAAACCACTGCGAACATAATAGTCAGCTAATGAGTTCCACAAGTGTCCAAGTTGATCAGTGTACCGTCTCAATCCACCACGAATGATGGCATCCACATTAAGAGACCTATTTAAACAGAGACACCAAGGTGTAGAAGTTTGAAGAGTAACTTGCAAAGAGGAAAGTTACACCTATTATATCATATCATACCTAACTTGATCAGGATTTTTAGAAATGAGCTCACAAAGCTCATTCCAAAGTTGATGATTTGATTTGCCATGTTTGGACACAAAGTCATCGTGATTGACAATAAAGCCTAACTTCAAAGCTGCTTCATCTAATCGATTTATGGATGTTAGATACTCAATGTAATCTTCTGTGTCTTCTGGACAAAGCTGTAATAGTAATAAATATTTTCATAATAACCTGTCTAACATTTTCAAGAACACAACAAATTTCTGCAAGAATTTGATGCTTTAATTACCTTTAAGTATCTTCTGAATACTCTAACAGCAGTTTCTGCCATGTCATGCTTTTTGACAAATGTTAAATAGAGTGGCCAAATTCGGGGATGTTGTGTGATCGGCAATGCACGTAAAGCTCTATCAAAGGCTTGCCGAGTTCTGGTTATCAGGTTCTGCTCAGTTAAAAATTGACAATAGTCCATCCATATTCTTGGCATCTGAACAGTTAATAATATACAGTTTATAGGAGCAAAATAAGGAAATGTACATTCTACATTGGAAAGAAAAGAATGCATAAAGTTACCTTGTGCATGAAAACTAAGGACCGCTCATATGCATTATTGATATCTTCATAGATAGGATCAATGATGCATCGACCTTTAGACTGTCGCCTCCTTAGCTTTAGATAGTTGTACCAAAGCTTGTAACTGAAATGAATACAATAAAATTATGAGATAATCTAGCAAAAGAAACATTTTGAAAAAACTATACCACCAAGTTTTTACCTGCCGGGTAACTCTTTCAGAGCACGTTCATAGATTATATTTAGCGCATGCTTGGGTGCGCCCTTCTTATGTTCAATATAGCGGAGCCAGTGTTTCACAGAGAAAGGGTTACGTAAGATGTCTTCCTCATAGGGCAAGTCTTCTTCAGTCTGGGCAAACACAATTCAACTAATGAATTTTGATGAAGGGTACAAATTGAAGTTACTGAGATGACATTACTTACAAATACTATGTGGAGATCCTTCCTTGCGACATCAGGAAGTTTCATGTCTAAGAACAAATACAAATAGAATGAGAAAAACTGTTAAATGGACTCAATAAGAAAAAAGGATAATATTTAAAAAATAAGAAAAGACTATTTGTGCGTTCACGGAAAGATAGTAAAAACGTACTAAGAACGACAAATAGAGAGGTTATCTTTTCCTATTTTGACACGGGGAGCAGACAACAAAGGTATTTCCAACCCAGAAGCACGCGAAAGAAGATACAAAATTACAGCCAAAAATAACTCTTACTTCCAGATGACGCCCTAGAGGCGTTTGCAAAGTTAATACAAAAGCCGGCGAAAGGGAAACCAAAACAAAGTACACAGCTGACTGTGGATAAGACTCTTCCCGATTCTTCACCCCTCTTCAGCCTATTTACACGCCATAGCTTATTTACACTACACAGTAAGAGCAACACCAAGTACCAACATCATGGAATGAAGTTCACTGATTAGATATTTAATACACCTGGACAGCGTTGATGCTAGTGATACGGAAGGACAGTAAGAAAACAAGATGCCATCAAATAAGGAGCGGCTGGGGCCCTGTCCTTGCTTGTCCCAAATACAACTTTTTCAACAAATAAGTGGGAAGGGGGAAATTGGTGGGGAGGGGGGAGGGGGGGAGGGGTCGATCGCTGGAGAACAGCGGAGACTCCGGGAGGTCGTTTCCGGAAAGGCACGGCTCCAGGCAGCTTTCCGGAGAGAAGCTGTGCCGGCGCTGGAGCCGCGTACCAGGCGCGCAGAATCGCGCGCGACTCCGGGCTGTTGCTCGCGCCTGCGCCGCCGTCTCGCGCCCTCGCTCGCGCGCCGCTCGGCTCGGCTCGGCTCGGCGTGGCTCGGTGCGGCTCCGGGGGCGGCTCGGCTCCGGGTGGCAGCCAAGAGGTCGCCCCGCTCCAGGCCGTAGCCACGCGGCGCGCTCGTGCCGTGCCACTGACTGGACTGGAAGACTCCGGTGACTGCTGGAACTGGGGGTCTTAGGCCTTACCCGGGGCTTTTAGACTGCCCACATACAGGAGGGGGATTACGGCGCTCCGCTCCTGTGCGCATTTTATAAAAACAGGGGGGGGGGGGATTGGAAGGCGCCTCCGGGGAGCGCTCCGTAATACCTCTCCAGGGGCTATGGATAGCAATTTGTCTATTATTGATTTTTTTTGTTTGACCAGTGAATGTGCAGACCCCTCGAGTTAAACACTTACTTGAATTAGGAGTCTAGGAAGATAAGTCGTGGTGATTTTAAAGTCCGACACTAGCAAGTACTCAAATTTGCAGCTGACACGTGCTGGTATTTGACTCTCACAAGTGCATGCCAGCCCCACTCTTCAGATATATCGTGAGAAAGCTGTAGTGCAGATAAGTCACCTTATCTCCTGTTTCCGCTTCAAGGCTCGATTGGCAATCGTACTATACTGATGTAATCTGTCTTAGATGAGCCATCATATGGCTAGTTAGCAGTGATTTGTGAAGGAAGACGTGTCTATCCCCGAAATACTTGTGACGCGTCATTTGGCGCCCTCTTGTCATCGAAAAATACAGACTTGATGTAGCGAAACACTTTCGTCTCCAGTAAGACAAGGGAAAATTTCGCCAGACACATAGTTTGTGCCAATAGCTCCTCCTCTTTGCTCACCAGTCCAGAGAGTACGTTCCCTTTTTGTCTCGGATTCGTTCGACAAATTGCGGGAACTCAGCGCCTTGCGAGACTCGGGTTAGGCCACCCCACAGTGCACATATGCACCACAGACAGGATTTGGCCTACCTATTCGGCGCTATGAGAACATCACAGACTGAACTTGAAAGTTTCGTTACGGCAATAAATGAAATGACGTACTTTCTGGATGATGCCCTACGGACTCTGGGTATATGAGGCCCGTGCCCGGGTGGAGCGGTACAAACACCCTCACCCGGCCGGGGAAATTTTCAATTATGGGTTCAATTAGTCGAGATTTAAACATGTCACAAATAAATAAAAAATATATTAAATATATATACAAAACACAACATAGAAGTAAAATAACAATATTGGATTCAGCATCGCTTATGAGTTGTCATGGACTATGTCTTTACACTGTAAGTCTTTTTACACAAAATACTAGAGTAATCTGAAGATTGGAGTAACGTTCCTATAGCCAGTACTCCCAAAATGGTTGAAGCTCCACACACGTATGCCAATACGTTTCTATAATTTTGGCTAAGTTGAAAGGGAAGAAAAAGAACATGTTAATGATTTGGCTACTGGGTTGAGGAAGTAGTACACATAATCTGTCGTTAACTTACTGGAAATAGGATTGTAGAACAAAAACAACCAATCCATTACTTAATTTATCAACGAAGCTCATCACTCCATAGACAAATGCTCCAGTGTCCGTATCCTGACCAATAAGATCTGCAGTCAATCCCACACTTGTAACAAGTAGAATTGAAGAACTAGCGCCTTTATAAGAAAGAAAATAATTATAAACATATTACATATACATTAAGATAGGTTGAATAATTATGTGTGTTTAAGGACGTACCCAGGAGGATGGCGACAGCGTAAACCTCATATGTTGTGTAGATTTTTCCTGCTCCCAGCCCAACCCATACACACCCTCCGGCTCCAATTAAACATCCAATTAAATATGCAAGCTGGAAACCAAAATAATTTTTTCAATATTAAGAAGACACATCATAAAAAGACATAAAATACCAAATAAAGTGAAAGGTTATCGTACCCTTCTGCCCAAATACTTATTCATTGTTTTAAATTGAGTTAAAACGGACGTGAAAAAGCTGCTGATGTACATGACCAGAGGTACAACGGCTAAACTTTCAGCTGAGAGTCCTTGTTCGTCCAGATAGAGGGGGACATAAACCTAGAACATGATATAGAGCACAGTATTTTAATTTACGTAGCATAGGGTAGGAATGCAAAGGAATCACCCAGAAAACTATGTCCGTCATTGGCCGTTCCGAAACTGCCAAGTTCGGCCTGTACAAGATCTCATAGCGCCTGATCGATAGGCAACATCTTGCCTGCCGTGCATGCGTGTACTGCAGGATGGCCTACCCCGACCACGGCAGGCGCCAAACTCCCTTAATGTGCCGAGTGACTCAATTGAACGGCCTTTCTAAACCAACTCATGTGGAACGTTGGGTAGATAAGCTAGAAGAAGGCCCACAGTAAGGTAATGTTGAACTAATATTTACCTGACTAAGGTTGACAAAAAGCCTTGTTGACATATAGACAACCGCAACCTGGTACAGCTTAATTGAAACTAAGTGTTCTTTAATTGTTTTCTGTTTGTTGGCTGTCATCACTTTGGTTGTGTCTTTTATTTCTGTTGAGATTGTTGTGTCACCTATGGTACTTATTGACTCATTTCCAGCGTCTATTGGTTGTGATGCATTTCTTAGACCAGCATGAAATAAAATAGAGCTCAGAGAACCAACTATTAAACCAGAAGCCACGACATACTGTTGGAAAAAAGAAGAAATTAGTTTTTGCGGAGGTACAAAAAGTTTCTCAGTTATTAAACCTAACTATAGAAATAAAAGTCGAATCGACTTTCCTTTCTGGCTGGAAAAAGACATTTCAATCATAAATGGCAATTTTCACAGTACCTGGAAGCTTGACTGATCTGATGGTCCGATTTTTTGGTTGGGGTCATTTGACACGTGCAAAACTAGCCAAGCTACAAGGTAGATGAAAACACTAGATACCACCGTGAAAGTGTTCCTGAAATATGAAACATTGTCATTGGATGATGTTCTGAATGTGGCGCATGTAACGGACGTTCTCCCAAAGGACAACACTCTCCGACGCGACGCAACGACGAGAGAAAACGACGTTGGACGTCTTTAGCCCCACTATGAAAAATAATAGTTCTAGGTTTGATGGGAAAATTTTCCTTGACGCGTGTCGTAAAATTACAAGCACTATGCATCGGCTTGCAATTGATCGACGAGCTGATTGCTCACCGCTTTTGATAGAATTCCGCTGGCTCCTCTAAACGGGATACTCTCAGAGAACAAAAGCACTGATTGCAGAGGCTTTATGACAACAACAAAATATCCCAAACAGAACTAATTTGTCACCTTGGAAAAGATTCTAGGGATCTGGGTAAGCTAAATATTGTTTTGAAATAGACGACTTCCGGTGCATTTATTTTGAGAGGAACGAGCGGAATGGTCAATTCGTAAGCGCCCGCAATGCATTGGATAGGCCAGCCTGCCAAACAGCCGAGTGGGGTTGGCGGACCACCTTGGCGGACTGCTGGTCTAGGGGTATCTTGGTGGGTGTACAAAGTTTCAGCTTTTTGGAGTGCGTCGCTTTCGGAGAGCGTTCAATGGAAAAAAGTATAACCAGTACCAGGTGCTTACCTGAAGGCAATTAATCCAGTACGAACATGTTCATCTGGAGTTAGTTCGGGTATTAAAGATAAATGGGCAATCTGTACGGCTGCCCATCCAAATTGGAATATACACACAAAGGCGGAGTAATAAATCAGTTGGTCCCAGTAGTCCCCTTCTGCATCATGACAAACTCCACACGGGGAGAAAATAAATGGGAAACTGAGGAGTACGCAAATTGTTCCTGAAAAACAAGTGACCTCAGTGAATCTCAGTATTGCACGTTTCAATATTATAATACCTGACATAAATTTTTATTTACCTAATAAATGCCAAGTTTTCCGGCGACCATATTTGCACATCCAGTGATCATGTTTTAAATCAGCCTGTAAACCAATTAATGGTGTTGCTAATGCATCAGCAACTTGCCCAATTAACATTATAGTTCCAGCTTCAGCCGAAGGCCAGCCAAGAACTTTGGTGAAGTAAATGAGCAAATATGTGAACCACATGGATGCACACACGTCATTTTGAACATGTCCGACTGAGTAGCAAAGTCGTTGAAATCGAGTGAGTTTCCTTTGCTGTACCTCCATTTTTGAGTATAATTATTTATCTGGAAAGGTAGACGAGCCACGGGTTATTAAAACAAGTTCTGGCAAGTAATGGACTATACCAAAAATTTAAATATCGGTGACGACTAAATGACTAACCATGCCATTGGCAGTGTAAAGGATTATTAAATTAATATTTACGGGTTACATGCGCTCAGAACGTCTTGACGTTACTAACCTATTGCCAAAGGCTCAGAGGTAGTCCACCCTTTCCTGCGAAGACCCAATTAAGTACTGCCGAGAAGTCTGCTGTGGTTAATAGCTTCATCGCCGGCACGGGTGTTGCTGCTTCGTCGCACAGATCTGGTGTGGCCGTGGCCCTTCTGCCGACAGACAGAGTGGGCCGTGGGTACAGGTAGTTGACATTAGGAGTACCATCTTGACCTTTGAAATGCAGCGCGCGACACCAAATTACGTCGAGCGCCGGTAATTAGAGGCCGCGGATAGCAAAAATGATTCACAGTAATCGCGTGGGGGCCAATTTTGGACCGTGGAGGGTAGCGAGGGCTATTGTTTTTGCTAATAAACTAATGAGCAATGTTAACAATTGCACTGTCACGATTCTACCACGCAGATACTATATCTTAGTCCGTCCGCTTTCGCTCCGCAATCTAGCTGCCAGGCCATTGTGATGGACTGTAGATTAAGAGTCGAATCATAACAGGTGTGGCAACGAATCCGATCTCACTGATATAACGGAGGAAATACCGGGAAATCCCCACTTTGAACAGATTGAGAAAGAAAGGACTTCAAGCTTCACATTTTTTCACATAGAAAATTTCCCGTTGAACCTGCATCTTTTATCTTTTCATGCCCAATGTTGGATTTCTTTGCCAAGGTGCCAAGTCGATAGAAAGTGATTGTAATTTTACAACTTCAGATTGTAATCTTACGGACTCACGTCATGGAAAATTTTCCCGTGAACTTAAAAGTATTTTCCCGATATTTTTCGCAGTGTTGGATCCCAAAACTTGGTGTTCAAAGAGGCCACAACATGGCAACCAGATAGTGAATGTAATAATTCTGAACTGAAAAGGGTCTCAAAGTTGATGAAACTAGCAACTCATGGGGTGTTCCGCAACGGGGGTCCCCGACCTCGGTCACTATCAGCTACGACAGGCAAGCCATGCGTGCAGGGCGCGTACCTCGGAGACCTCACCGATATGATTCCGATATACCGATGTGTACCAGTGTACCATTGCAACTGCGTCCCGCTTTACGCGTGGATTAACTAAACAAGGCAGACGGTAGAACACGAAATTAATTTTGTGTTAAGAAATAAACTCGTTCTTTAACTTAAATGATCGCCCTTCTTTGTGGCGAGGTGAGTGCGATCATCAAGAATGTGCGTACGCTAACTGCCGTAACGAAATTAGCATGTTTAGCCAAGGTCTCATAGCGCCTGATAGGTAGGCAACATCCTGCCTGCAGTGCGTGCGTGTACTGCGGGGTGGCCTACCCTGAGTCTCACAGGCGTCGGGCACTCGTAGTTTGCCGAATGATCGAATGAATCAGAGAGACGGATGTACTTTCTAGACGATGCATACGAAGACAAACTGTTCTCAGATCATTGTCGACCTTTTTTCGGTGCCGTGGCGTATTTCCCGCTTGCGAAAGTAAAGATCGAAGGTGAAAAATAGCCCAATTTTCACTTTGAGGGATATGTGAGAGTTATTGTAAAATAAGTTAGAGTCCACTAAAGGGAAATTTAGGTTGCGTTTGATTTGAACGGTATACGGTTTTAGCCTCGCACCACGGTGCTTTAATGTTCATTTATGAAAACGGAAAGAGACGAGACGAACGGGCCGTGTGTGAAGACACCTTATTTTGAAACCATCTGAGCAAGCATCGTGACCAAGTCCTTTGCTGTTTATGTTTACCTTTTGATGGTATGTTCTGCCAGTCTCGATGTTGTGTTCAATCCATGCAACTGTGTCGTTTCCGATTCAGTTCTATCAGAAACGGGTTCAGAACGAGTCACCCTTCTCCTCTGTTGAACGTCCAGTCGTCTACTCCGTCGCGCAATCTTGCTGTCAACTCAGTGATACGCACTGAGTTGTCTTCTTATCTTTGAGCCTTTAGCCGTAGGCACAACTTTCTACACATTTTTTCACTGCGAGAGCGACGGACTGGACGTCGCCAGCCCAGGAGCGCACTGGCTCGTCTGTGCCTCGAGGGCTCAGACAGCTGGTATCACTGTATCATGTGTAGAACATACCATGTGGCTGATTAACCCCGCGCACCGCGCACCTATGTAGTTATACTGTACCCAGAGGCCTGCAGTCGGATGCTAGTTTGGTCCGAAAACGAGAGCTGGAAGTGAGAGGGAGATATGTTCTAGTTCGACCTTCTCCCTCTCACCTATTGTTTCCGGACCAAACGAGCATCCGGCGCTCGCTCACTGCGGGGCTCGACTGTACCGTGGGAAAGCGTGCAGGTGGGTTGGCCTGTCGTCCCACTACGGTGCCTTACGGGCCACCTACCGGATAGGCAACCTGCCTTTGTAGCTGTACTATATCGCACATGACAGGCGTGCGGGCTGGCCTGAGCGCAGCGACCCGATATGGACCCGAATCCAAACCGAATCCTGGAGCGCCTCAACGCAGAACTGGACCGAACCGAAACCGATTCTTCCTCAGCGGACACCCTATCACCCCCCTGGTTCCAAACCGGGTCGCCGCGATCCGGCCAGACCGCAGGCCTTTCACTCTGGAAACCCAAGTGTTTACTTGAATGCAGAATCTCCTGCATACCTACGTGTATGCAGGAGATTCTGCATTCAAGTAAACACTTGGGTTTCCAGAGCATGTGCGATAATTACAGCTACAAAAGCGAGCCGTTTTAATCAGCCACCTTGTAGATGAGAGTCCTCCAGCAATAGAAAAAAAGAAAGCGGAAGAAAATAACGAACCATAAAAAAAGACGATTCCGGCCAACAAGTAGTGTTCGAGCCCAAACACGGTAAAAACAATGTCTCATTTTTTGAGGAAAAAGGGAAAACTATGAGGAACTTCCATGTTTGAAGAAGAGTCCTCTGATCTCGCCTCAGATTTTGAGAAATCGTCAAAAAGTGAGGAAAAATCCCAAAGTTTCTGAGGAGTCTTCCTCGAAATCTGATGAGTTTTTGTCATACCTGCAGAGTTCCTCAAAGTTTTCCCTTTTTCCTCCAAAAATGAGACATTCTCGGATGTAAAGATCCGTACTCAGTGCTATAGCCGAAAACTGTTGTTGAACTGTAGTTAAACTAAATTTTAATTGCAGGTTTCTATAGTTTAACTACAATTTTTTCAGACGTAGGGCCACAAAGCTTGAAAAACTGCAGATTAACCACAGTTTAACTGCAATGATGAAATTACTAGAGTTCTGACTGCAGTTCGACTTCAGATCCTTCCACCCGGGAGAATATAGTAAGTATGCGTCAGCACTTGAGTCTTCAGAGTTGCTTGAGAATGCGTTCGGTCCTCCTGCTGAAGGGCTGACCTTAGTGCGTGTCGGGCCAGGCCGAGCAGCGTGCCGCCTGGCGGCCACCAGCAGGGCCACGCGACAGATAAGATAGCGTGGAGTCGACAACTTAATCCGGTAGGAACCTCAGGTTTACTGTCGACTACTGTTGACCAAAATCTGAGCCGTAAGATATTGATCACTATTTTTTGGGACTTACTTTTAGGTGGTAAACAGACGAGCAGCTATCCACACATGTGTTAATTCTAAGGCTGAGGTGTTGTTACTGCCTCGGCGACACAGTTATCCAGTAAGAGGTGAGATGGAACTGGCCCAGACAGTCTGCTTTTTTGTGAACAAAGAAAAAAAAAGATACACGCACAAGAATATGAGTCGCGAGCGTCCGGCCTGGGTCACTGTTAAATGGCATGAGGATCGTGTTGAAGAGGGGGAGAAGGAGAGAGAGAGAGAGAGAGAGAGAGAGAGAGAGAGAGAGAGAGAGAGAGAGCGTTATGGACGGCCCCTTCGCGACGCTATCCGTCTGAAGTAACATACAAACGCGGTGCGGCTTTGGCACCAGTCAGCGGATGCTCGGTAACTGTTATGGAGGCCGATTATTTAACCATTTAACAAAATAAAATAAATTGTTTGGGGCCGTGCCTATTTGACGTCATGATTACAGTGACGGCTCAAATTCCCTCTTGGCACAGTGGTCATGCAAAACAAAAGCTCATTCTGTGTCCTTTAATTGTTTGCAGGCTTAGATATGTTATTTTAAACTTTAGTCATCCATATTAATAAACTCGCTGGTACACAAGGGATCATCCAGAAAGTACGTCTGTCATTCTCTTTAATGAACCCGTCAAGTTTAGCTCTGCATGCTCTCATAGCGCCTGATGAGTAGGCAACATCGTGCCTAAATTGCACGGGAGTACTGTGGGATGGCCCACCCCGAGTCTCGCAGGCGCTGAGCTCCCGTAATTTGCCAAATCAATTAGAAAAACGGAGGTACTTTCTGGACGATTCCCAATCTGCGTAGTTTTGTTTGTCACAACGAAGTCTTTGGTAAGCCACTGGTTTCCTGGAAAAGCACACAATACTTTTGCGTAATTTCTTTATTGTAACGCTGATAAATAAAAAATCATTCTTGAAGTAGATAGATGCAATTTGAACAATTATCCACATATTGTACAATATATACATATCTTGCTCTAATATTCACAAAATTTACAAAATGTACAAGAAAACTAAGCATGCGTTGGGTTTGAATGAACATTCTTTGTTAATTGGAAGATACAGTGTGAAGAATTAAATCGAATTACGACCCCATACGATGCAAAAACCTGAGTCCGAAAGTGAGCCCTTCCCTTCGCTTGTCTACCCTTCGCCGCCCCGGGAGCGTTCCACCTCGCTTGGTGGCAAGGATGAGGGTAATGGTGGGGAAGTGGAGGGAAGGGCTCAGACCGAATCGGAGTTATTCCATTTTTACAAGAACGCCTTATATAAGGATCGACGTATTATCTTCTGCGTCACCAGTGAAGTCTACGGCTTAGAGTGGGAGAATTAATCTTTCCGTCGTAAGTTTGCCGAGAGAGGAAATTCACTTGAGTACAATGACAGCAGTTGTATCCAGTTAAGAGTTTTTGCATGAAATCTCAACGAGATTGATTTTTACACACTTTCATTTGCAAGAGTAATCCAATTTCACAGTGTTTGAATATCGACATTGAGACCTTGGTAGCTTGACAACTAACTAAATACCTCTGTTACGGTTAGTCGAATATCAAGTTCGCAGATTATCTGTTTGATGTTCAGAAGTGAATGTATACAGATACATGTCTATCGCGCAATGGCACGCCCGGTAAACAAGTACTCAGCTCACCATGCGTCATACTATGACGAGTTGTTATTAAGATTCGTGAGTAGGAATAACGGGTAGGACTTAAGATATAAACACAAATTTACATATTTACAGAAATTCCTAACCCAGAGGAAATATGGCTCCTGGAAGTTTCATAAAAAGACTAGAGATACGTCACAAGAAAAACACATTATGGCATTCAGTCAGAAGTGAAAAATTTCTAATGGAGCAGAACAGTTACATTTCCAAAGTGTCCTATTCTGCAGTTGGTTACTTGTGCAGTAAGAACATTTGTGTTTCTGAATTCAAAGATATTTGACCTGGTCCTAAACACTGTCAAAAGCTTACAGTGAATTTCACTTTAAGCTACAGTCAAATTCACCGCAAGCTTTTTTTAGTTAAATCAAGAACGACAACCTGAGACTTTCACTTTTATAAAACAACAATTAAATTTTTGTTGCCTTCTGCCATGTTGGTGATGCACACATTGTCTAGAAAGCATCCATTCAGATTGCGCAGTGGGTGTTCTTCTGTCGATTGGCACACGACGGAACAAAGATTATTTTTTTACGAAAAAAAAAATGCAGTGATACATGGTCCAAGTACGATTCGATATACTATGTACAATTATAAATAACAACAAAGAGAGAATGTGAATCACATCGGGTGCTCCTCTTGTTTAGCACAGCGGAGTCAAAGTATCACATTGATTTTGGTTCAGCATGCAGAACAGCCGTGCTGAAGGAACAGTGTGGCCAGCGCACACCTCTGGTATGGCGGACCGCAGAGAACAGAGAGAGAGTTCGCGCAACTCGCCCGACGACTCAGATCTCGGCGCGCTCGTAGCTGTTGGGCTGAAAGTAGGCGTGGGCCAGGTCGTTGAAGCCCAGACTGTGCGTGGAGGGCAGGAAGTAGGCCTGCGTGGGCGGCGAGCCCTGCGGCGACCCCGGGGCCGCCACGTGCTGCAGGTTCATGTTGTTGAGCATGGAGAGGCGTGCGGCCGCGCCGTTGGGCGACGGCAGCACCCGCTGGTAGCCCTGCGGGTGGCTCTGCTGGCCCTGCCCGGGGCCCGGCGGGAACCCCTGGTAGCCCTGCTGCTGCTGCAGGTTCGTCTTGCCCGCGGGCTGCAGGCTGGCCCGCTCACGGTGACGGTGCCCCGAGGAGCTCTTCTTCCTCCTCTTGTCCGTCGAACGCTCTGTCGTGGAGTGCTGGTGTGGCGGCACAACAGAGACACGAGTGAAACGGTTAGTTAGAGGAAATAGGGCGGGGGAATGCATTCCAGTTTGTACAACATAGGTTGGTTAGGCAGATGCAAGGAAACCGGGATCGAGAACTGACTTTAGAGATGCCGAGGAGGGTCGGCCATTCAGGGCTGAGTACCTTTTACCATGCCACCACATTTATAAGTCACAAGTTAAAAATAAGGGTATTAAAACACAAGTCGGGAGGTCGTGTCAGGCAAAGATGGTGTCAAGCGGGACAAGGTGGTGATCACAACGTCAAAGGTAAAACAATAAGCACGTACCTATTTTTGTCGACGTATCTGGAGGTATGAGGAGTACTACATTGTGAAGACGTGTGTGAGATAAGAAGACATCAGATTGTGCTTTCAAACTAAGGACGACCACGCTGAACACATATAACTGGTTTCTTGCAACATATTCAGGCTAGTCATGCAAGATTCGAGGACTGTGACATGTGGTACAACAAGACAAGGAGTGAAGTCACACAAGGAGAGTGCGTGGAAATGGAATGTGAAAGAGGTTTCCACATGCACAATAATTGGTCGTGTGAGCTAGAGCGCGTGTTAGCCTGGACCAGTGCTTACATTTACGTGGCTGCATAGGCTAAACCACAAACGATATATCTCCTTGCGTTTGCGGTAGAGTAGAACCAGTTGGCAAGTTCACGAATATTTTGTGGGGAGAAGAGAAACAGCGCACTGCTGTAGCGAGCATCCGAATTAAAAGCAACGATACAAGCAGCTAGAGGGGCTATTCTGGCTAACAGCACTGATCGGGGTAGAGACATAAAGAAAGATGCGGCGAAGCAATCTAATTGAAGATTTAATAAAAAATCTACATCACATAAAGAATGAGAACAATACTTTAACAACGTGGACGATTTTGGCATACGTTTTGGGAAGGTAACAGAGCGAGTGGGACTCGGGCTGCGTTTTGCAACAATGAAAGACTTGTGAGAATGAATATTGATATGGTAACACAAGTGTCTGAAACTGTTGGATAGCTTTTGTAGGAAATAAATAACATTGTTAACGTTCTGAGTGTAAAGAAGTCGTTAAAATTAACCTTGAGGATAAAAAAAAACAGCTACGTTCTGTTATAACACATTCGTAACATTTATTTGTGTGCTACGTTTCTGACACAAATACAAATAGTTATCAACTGTCATGGCTTTATAAGAACAGTTGCTCACATTCTATGTACATTATTAATTTATTTGCACTATCATTCTCATTTCATTGATAATCTCTTTATACACTTTTAATCTAAATTTGACTGACTATGCAGATGAACTGTACAAAAGCACCTGGTAGGATGCATTCATAAATAGGCAAAGACTAAACCTTGCAAATATATATTTAATAATTTACACTCAGAATTAATTTGGGCTTTTTAAATACTATATTACATAAGTATAAATAATTATTCACAAAATTAACACTCAAAAACTCAACATATGATACAAAAAAGTAATTCTACAAGGGAATTCTGGTAGCTCTCTTAATCTTTGTGGGAGATTTGATTGAAACGTTTTTCGATAAAGAGTCTTGCCCAGTAAAAAACAAAGACATGATGCGAAAATATTTTTGGGAAACGATAATGGTTGACTTATTTTGCATTGAAGCATGCACGTCCGCTACATGAGAGCCTTGCATGGTCCTAGTTTGCACTTCTACGTAATCAGTCTCAGGCTTATTTTTCTCTCTAAGTACAATAAAAAAAAATTACAGTAAAACCATGTACAACATTGTTGCACGGATGCAGGAACTTCGACATTCTAAATGAAACGTTTTCCTGCACTTACTAGGGTCAGAAGCAGGAGGAGTTCTACTGGTCAGAGAGCAAAGGACAGGTCATGATCTTAAGCCTGGCTCACAGACCGAATTTAGAACACAGCTAATAAAGGCTTGCTAAGTAAAATTATTTCACGAAAAACACACAGAAAAAATGTGATGGTGACAAAAAAGTGCAATGTTACCGTGCAAAAAAAGTGATATCAGAAGGTTTTAAAAGAAAATCAAGACAGTTCAAAATATGGAAGACATATTGGTGCTGACTGGAGATCAAACCCTCTAGGGATTCTAGTGAGATCAGCAAAACATTTTCAACATACAATGAGTCTTGACACACATTCGTTAAAATCACACGGAACACACAAAAACGTTAATTCACTCGGACACCAGCGTGGGTCACCTTGCCCGCAAACGAAATAACCGGTGAATAATACAATTGTTCTGACACAATTAATTCACTAAGCACACCGTACATTGCGGAAAAAATATGAGAAGCGTTGTCAAAGAAACGATCACAGGAATAGGTACAAGAGGGCTAAAGATTATCTAGCGTGTAAAATAAAAAACACGCCGCAAGCTCAGTGAGCTGAGCCCTCGTTCTGTGACGCCGCAAGGTAGTCTTACTACACCGTTGCGACGCGCTAAGGACTGGCCCAGTCCGTCGGACTGGGTTGTGGTTCACGCAAAACCAAGTCTCATGACTAAAATCCAAAACGTTCAGCTACTTCAGTCCATGGCACGGCGGTGGCTCACAAGCTGAGCTTTCTTTACCTGCGCCAAACACCAAGCGTGTATCGCGCTCACCAAAGGGACAGAGAGACAAAGAGGGGACAGAGGGGAGGGAGAGAGAGAGAGAGGGGTACAGAGAGCGACAAACGCCCGCATGCTTAAACTAAGCAGCTCGTTCGAGCTTGAAAAATTCGAAAAAAATTATTGTCATGTTAAATAGCTTGATTCACAGCCCATGGCTAAATTACGCACAAGTGTGCGAGTATAAAATATTATTACGAGAAAAATTGTTATAAGATACAGTCCGTACAATTAATTAGAAGAGAACGATTTAAAGAAGAGTAGTAGGAGGTTTCTCAACAGGAAGACAGAAAGTGGACGGCGGAAACTGGCATTAGCTTTGGCAGTGAGGACACGCACACGCACACACACACAAACACACGCTGCTGCTCACACTACAAGAGAGCGTTGCGCGGGGCACGGGGTTGGCAGGGCGTACAGAGCCATACAGCGGCATGTCCAAGCGGGGCGGGGCGTGGCGTGGCGGGGCTGGGCGGGGCGGCGGCGGGCCGAGCGCCCCCGTTAGCGGGGTGCTACACCCGGGTGGGCGCCTGCAGCACCATGGCTGCGAGCCTAACCTTCATGGCCTCCGGCGACCCGCCCGCCGTGATGTGCTGCGGTATCCGGTGGTGCACGGGCACGGGGGACTGGTGCCCGTAGTGGTGGTCCGGACCGATGCCCACCACCGTGTTGTTGGAGCCGTCGATGCGCGGCGTCTTCTTGCCCGACGTCGAGTCCACGTCGCTCTTTTCACTAAAAAAAAGAGATAGAGAGTGATGGATGAGTACATGGGCAGTCGTCGCCATATTACGGCGGAGCTCGAGAACAAAACAAAAGTGTCATGCAGCAGCTTTGACAACCCCGAACTATACGACTTCTCAGCCAGACATTTAAAGAGTCTCAACCTTGCTAGTGTCTAGAACATGGAAACTGCCGTATTCGTATTTTTAAAAACAATAACTAAATTTTAAGACACACCAACAAAGCTAAATAATGACGTTCAAAATGCCTATGTCACTTTCCGAGCAAATTTGTTGAGAGTAAACATACCACTAAACTACACAATTGCCAGCGAAATTAGCAACAAAATCAAAGCAAGTGGCGGTGATAAAACAGATAAAAATGTGATAGCGGGCGACTGAAAAAATGCATGTGCGAGTGACAACACGAAAACAAAGCATTATACTCCGGTAACTCGAGTGTCGACCAACAAGGCTCTACCGTATCAAAAACATGACTTGCACTATGCTTCACTGTCAACAAAATCTACAGCATTAACAACGGTTTTAAACTGTTATATTTTGTGCTCTATCCTACGGTGTACGGTCTGGAAGTACAGTCCGTCACCGTTAAAATTCATTGTAGACCGTAGGAGAGAGCAAAAAAATTTAGCAGTATGCCACTGTTATTCCAATGAACAGTTTTACACTGTTGTAAATGTTGTAGATATATTCTACAGTGTTATGATATGAGTAAGCAGCTAGAGTGCTGCAACCACCTAAAATTCGTTTTAATTGGTGCCCAAAATGACTATAACGCAAACAGCGACATTGTGCTACACTGACCTTCTTATGTCATACTCATGATTGCCCAGCCTCTTTGTCTTGGAACGATCCAACCTACACAAAACACTATGTTTGAGTCCTTTCCATCCTCCTAAGCGACAAGGAGGAGACAGCCCTATCTAGACATCTGTAAGGGCTGCGAAGTCCAGCATGACGGACAACTTGAATCATTTAGATCAACGGCAGTAAGGCGCGATTAGAAATGTACCAGAAGCGATTTCTAAAGAGTTTGAGACGCGTATCAAGCAACGATCAAGATTTGTACGGAAGAGGTTTCTTTTCATTAAACAGACAAATTTCAGTTAGTCAACTCACCTTTCTAAATCCGCCGGCCTGAAATCACCTCTCCCTACAACAAAGTGAAATACACTAATAAATCTCAGGTTGTTCTCAAGTAGATTCCAGAACTGAACTTGAGTCGATTGAGTTGGATTACTTACTCGCAAAGCAGCACTTTTCCCTTCTGACGGCGTACACCGACAGGAGAACAAGCAGGAGTAGTAGCAGCAGGCAACCAGAGGCGACGCTCAGTAGTGTAGTCATAGAGACGGGTTCTGAAAGAGAGCGCAACAATTAGCAACGTGAACAGTATTAAGTGTCTGTGCCATTTGTTTCTTAAAGTTTACATGCAACGTCAAGGTGTTGAATTGTTACGTTTGTAAGCCAGCGACAAAGAACTATGCATTCCAGCGCGGCAAAAACAATTAATTGCAAAGACACACTCATGCAAAATACATACGCCGTCACCACCAGACTAAACACAATGTGACGATGGGGAAAGAACAAGCCACAGGAGAAAAGATAAAACTATAATACTAGTTCTTAACGGGATATTATATGTGTGTGTGTGTGTGTGTGTGTGTGTGTGTGTGTGTGTGTGTGTGTTGTGTGGGGGAGGGGCTCTTTGACGAATATCGCTGAGACGGGAGAGTATCCACTTAAAGAGAATCCCATGGAGAGGTGCCGGGGTAGGGGGGCCTACGTGACATGTGTGCGGGATTGTAACCCTCTTCTTCGGCCCGCTTTCCCCGCTCCCTCCCCCACTCCCATCCCATTTCCCAAAAGGCTCCCCCGTACTGCCCCTAAGCATCTGCCGCCGCTGCAGCAGCTACCGAATTAAAGTCGTGTAAGAGGCGCTCTTTTGTTCTCATTGGATTGTCTCTTATCGAGGAGTCCAGGAGTCCCGGGCGAGTCCCTATGGTCGCCTGCGAGCTGGGTCTCAAGGACTGAGAACTAAGAGAAAAAGAGGATAGGACGAGCATAGAGGAAGGGGGGAGAGAGAGAGAGAGAGAGAGAGAGAGAGAGAGAGAGAGAGAGAGAGAGAGAG